GAAGTGTTTATACAGTAGAGCTAAGATGGCTATCCGAGTACAGAATCAGAGTACGAAACCTATCCAACTGCAGAGAGATGTAAGACAGGGTGACGTTATATTCCCGAAACTCTTCACCGCTGCATTGGAAGACGTTTTCAAACTGCTGGACTGGAAAGGATGCGGTATCAACATGAATGGCGAGTACATCACTCACCTTCGATTCGCCGACGATATAGTCCTTATGGCAGAATCGCTGGAGGACCTAAGCACTATGCCCAATGACCTCAATAATGTCTCTAAACGGATAGTTCTTAAGATGAACATGGACAAAACAAAAATTATGTTTAACATCCATGTCACACCTATGCCGGTAGTTGTTGGGAGCACTAAGCTCGAAGTTGTTGACGAGTATCTTTACCTGGGACAAATAGTCCGACTAGATAAGTCCAACTTCGACCGAGAGATCAATCGACGGATTCAACTTGGCTGGGCAGCGTTCGGGAAACTACGACACATCTTCTCGTTAGACATACCTCAAAACCTTAAAACGAAATTGTACAACCAGTGCGTGTTGCCAGTGATGACTTACGGATCTGAGACGTGATCCTTCACTACTGGCCGTATGAGGAAGCTCAAGGTCGCTCAGCGAGCTATGGAGAGGGCTATGCTCGGGGTTTCTCTGCGTGATAAACTTAGAAATGAGGATATCCGCAGTAGAACCAGAGTAACCGACATAGGATTAGTAAGCTGAAGTGGCAGTGGGCCGGACAAATATAGCTCGAAGAACCGACAACCGATGGGGAAGAAAGGCTCTTGAGTGGCAGCCTCGGACCTGTAGGCGAAGTGTAGGGCGACCCCCTACGAGATGGAGTAACGACCTGGTAAGACAAGCAGGAAGTCGATGGATGCAGGTGGCTCAGGACCGTGCTTTGTGGCATTCCTTGGGGGAGGCCTATGTTCAGCAGTGGACTTGTGAAAGGCTGTAATGATGATGATGAGGTACAAATAGTACCAATTAGGTACTCAAATTTGATATTGTTCAATCATCAATTTTTTCTCTTATAGTCCAGAGGTTTTGACGCTCAACAAATATCGCATAGTAAGTATATTTTTGACCTTCTTTTTTTAGGAAAAAGTTTATAGAAATAATTATATTCAATTTGGCGTTACACGAATAAAATAGTTTCATTCAAAATATGGATGTACATTCTGTAAATAATAGGAACTAGCACAATTTCTTCATGGTGCAATGAACACGCTTTTAAAACAAAGTTTATAATATAAATAGATCCAGTCCACAGTCAAAGAAAATATGCAGGAATCATCTTATTTCAAAATTTTATTAAAAAGAGCTGTAATTATAGGCTTATACCTGGTTTGTTAAAAAAACAGGTACATGATTGATAATTACCCCTACGAATAAGGTAATCGCTAACATGTTACTTAATTTCGTTTTTATTTAACAATATTGTAAATTATTAATATTTAAAAAAAAAAGTCTCGTAGGGTTTAATTGGTGCGTCTTCCCAGGACAGAGGTTTTTTTCCGAACCAGTAGTAAAAGCATAGACGAATTCCATGGGGTGTTACTTGTAATCAATATTTAAAAAATAAATATATTCATGAACCCGTAAAAGTCCTCTGGATATGGGTATCTCCTGTTGTAGGATTTGCCTTAAGGGGCTACTCCATGCGAACGACCTTGAGCATTTGGCCGGCGGCGGAATATGTAAGACGCCACCTATTGTAGGTACGAACGTAGTATTATTTTTTCAACATCAATAAACTAATTTATGGAAATACACACAGCGTACAACGATAAATGTATTTAAATTTTTTTATTCGGTATATTAGTTGCATTATATTAGAATTATGTATTTTCATATATTATCTAATTATGAAATTTTATAATTAATTATATATTAAAAATGAAGCATTGAAAATTGTGAGTTTAAAAGATACCTATTCACTATAGGTAAATAAATAGATAGCTCGCCTTTTGTACATATATTTGGTGCAATAAAGAATAAATAAATAAATAGGATGTTTCGCAGATGTGTGTTTGATTATTGTTAATTTTTACGTGTCACGTATTGAAAAGTAACATGCCTACCTACTAATTTTTGAACTGAGCACCTTGTAACTTAGCCTGCTTATTACTTATGCTGGCAGACATTATCCTCACCCCAATGATTGATGAGGTTGAAAATAAATTTTATTTCTACATACGTAATTATATTTATTTATACATAAGGGTAACTTTAATAAAGGTAATACAAAAATCAACAAGCAGTATAAGGGTTCAATCTTTCAATTTCAATTGTAAAAAAACGTTACCCCCACACTAGGATTTTCTCCTGTGTCGTGGAGGCAGTTTACAAACATAAATTGCACAAGGACAAACATCCAGACCCGGAACAATTATTTGTAGGCCATACAAATACTTGTTCCGTGTGGGATTCGAACCCGCGGCCCCCAGCGCAACAACTGATTGCTAAGCCACTGCGCCACGGAGCCGTCGCCGGGTTATAGCTAAAGTGACCATACGTCCCGTTTTGAACGGGACTGTCCCTTTTCTCGGTCACCTGTCCCATTGTCCCCAAACAAAGCTCCGGGACACAAAATTGTTCCGTAACTCGTTGGATGGAAGTATTCAAAGTCAACAATCTTCAATATAATTTTTTTTAATGGAATATATTTTATGTCTACCTGGTACAAACGCTCCGGTAGAAAGAGTATTTTTTTATTTTGAATAAATTGTGGACGTCTGAAAGAAACACTTACGGTTCCAGTTCTAAAGGCAATGTTGTTAACAAAGATAACAATAAAAAAACTTGAGCAGAATTTTATTCTTATTTAAAATCATCACCAATTTTATTAAAGCAAATTTAATCCACTGACAAATGTAATTAATAATTTAAAAAAAATATGTTGCATTTAATAATTACCGAATATAATTTTATAGTGAACACTAATTGTATAAAGTTATAGTTTTTAGAGTATAAATAAACCCATGTCCTGTTTTGAGTTAAAAAATAAATGGTCAGTTTAGTCTTTTTAGGTAAATTTAGTTTTAAAAATTTTTAGTTTATAGTAAAAAGTAGGTATATTAGTACCTGATTAGATACTTTTTACCAAATTATAAGTATATAACAGCTTATGTACTCAATTATTTTTTGAAAAAGAAGAAAAAACAAGCAATAAATAATATACTATATTTTAGCAAAAAAACTATAACTTAGTAATACTAATTATAACTTAGAACATAAATGAAAAACTCATAACTGACTTTTTGGCCAGGCCCAGGATTCGAACCCGGGACCTCATAATCAGCAGTCGCTCTACTACAACGACTAGACCAACGAGGCAATACTATACCTAATAAGATATTGTGATTAGGTATTAGGATTATTTTTAACTGTATACTATACTGATCATATTGAATTAGCCTTTTATAGTGTAAATTATAATATTTGTCGAAATGTTAATTATGGATTCGAACCTTACATGCTAATGGTGCTTCATTTTTTTATTTGCATTTACTTCAAAGAAAATACACGCAAAAAGCTTCATCGCGCAGTAAAAAACACAACAAATATATGTATATTTAATACGAAAAATTATACCCAAAACAAACAAATAATACTATCTATAAATAACCTAATAAGTAATAATATTATCGACTGATATGACGTGAGCGTATGCGTTGACTGACGCTCTAACGACACGGGCTTCACGTCGAAGAGCTCAGCGCTCACTGAGGCCTGCTATCGTGCGGGCAGTGAATACGCCCAGATTTTAAAATAATTTCTTAATAAAATCAAATTTTGGTCTTTTGAAAAAAAAATTACTATAGAAATGTTCATTAATAAATTGCCTATCCATTGGTGTAAATCGCAAAATAAAATAATACTTTCTTTACGAGGAGATGCATGTTATCAATAATTATTTCACATTTATGTGGTTTCGTTGTAAGGAGATTATATTAATATTTATTCCTTTTAAAAAAAATTGGATATAGCTTTTATGGAATCAAGATTATGTAGAAATATAATGTGTTTTTTATTTGTTGATATATCTTTTAAATAAAAGTAGATAGCTCCTAAAAACCGCACAAATAACGACTAGCGCGACATTTTGCTCAACCTGCGCCTTAATTGTCACGCTTGGCAGACGGAATGACGATCGCAATGCCTGAGTTCTTTCACGCATCTTTGACACTGCTCCCTGTCACCCGTCTGCATATTTTACGCCCAGCGTAAACGAAATGGTTATATACCACCATCTATTTGAAGCAATAAGATCTTTCTGTCGTTTCCTATAGTCACCTCTTACGACCTATCTAGAACTTACCCTAAAGAAAAGAATAACCAACCTCAGTACAATCTCGACATTAATAACTCTTCGGTATATCTGATTAAAGCTATAGGAATGCATGACTTAATTCCTTCTTCTCGCTTCCAACATCGCATAACCAGACGTTCGCTCTACCCCTTAGTTGTACACACATATTACGCTGATCATAATGTGGGTGAGCTTAGCGAAAAATTTAAAAATGATTTATTCTTTCTGCACTAGTAGATCAATAAAAAACATATTATAGTTCGACGTTATAATGTAATGTACAGTACAAATATTTATTTAAAAACAAATGAAAACAAGAATAATGTATTTTTACTTCCGTGAGTACTATATATTTGTGGACATTTATTGGTAAAATGCATATTAGTGAAATAGGTAAATGGTGTATTAACATTTGGCAGCCCCAGCATTCACCCTGCAAGGAAATTGCACTAGAGTGGAATCCTTTCGCCAAATCTTGTAGTAATTATAAACAGGATTTTTCGTTCTCTAGTTCTATGTACACAAACTGACAACGGCACACAAGACACCGCCGAAAACCGACATCAACACGAATAAAAAATTCATCGTGGTACGTATGTTTTAATTCATCTTTGAATCCGTGGAAAACAAAACAAACATAATTTCAGTATTTATTAAACATCAATAACATCCATTTTAAATTGTGATTGGACCACTTGGTTTCTTTTTAGGAGCGTAGCCAATTCTGTTGTGAATCTCTTCGGTTGTTTTTGTGCATCCTCCAAGAGGCTTAGGTGTATCTTCTTGCATTTCACTGGCGATTGAAGAGTTATTTGCTTGATCTCGTCGAAAGGATTCGTATTCTTGCAAATCATCCAGTTTTAAAGTTATTTCTGTTAAGGGTCTTCGAATCATGTTTTTATCTAAAATTAAATATTATAAAATATTTAATTTGATCGCATCTGTAATAAAACAATGAATGGCAACTTTTTTAATTTTATCGACAGACTATGGTTGGTATCCCTGTTAAAGAGATGCCCGAGGAAAATATCGAAGACGACTATAAACAATACATACTAAAGAATAAAAAAATTGTTTATATTATGATATTTTCAAATTAAGGTTGCAATTACGATTAGGACCCTTATATGATAGAGCTGTAAGAGTCATTTAAACTAGGTACATGTTATAAATCTTAAGTAAATAAATAATAAGTATATCAATACTCGTTCTTCGAAATTCTTTTAATTTGTTGTCAAAATACTATTTCAATAGAAACACGAAATAAAATATATGTTATACTCACTTTTTACGAACTAATTAAATTTTTTACAAGTTTTAGTTTAATAATTTAAAAATATTTTTCTAACTATGCATTTAAACAATTCACTTGTGTAATAAACTATTATAATCCCATAATATTATTATTAGTAATAAATAATATTATGCTAGAAAAAGAAAATTGGTGGAAACCACAGTTCTCTAAGTCGAGATATCGATACTTCAATTTTTTTAAAGTTCGAAAGCCAACACTACAGGATACTTAGTAACGTTATTGAAAGCGTCTATGTTAACGTGTCGCTAATAGAAATTTGTTTATTTACTGTGCATTTTATTTAAGCTTTATATAATTTCACCTAGTGTTTGAGTACTATCAAATTAAAATTACACTTACCAAAATGTTATATCTTGAAGATTATCTTGAAAGTAAGTATGTAACTTCTTTGTTCCTTTAGTTATGACGCCATATGTGAAGATGGTTGGCAGCATTGAGGCGACCATTTAATATTTTTAGTTTTACCGGCGCGAAATTTAAATATTTCTACAGAATATATATCTAGTAAGTTTGTAAAGTTGTGTCTGTTTCTTTTAGTGATCGAACATCTTCCTCAGGAGCTCAGAGATCGATTTACAGAAATGCGAGAAATGGACTTATCAGTACAAAGTTAGTATTCTCTGTATATCTTTACACTTATGTTATAAATTGTCTTGATATTGTTTCGTACATAATATTCAAATATTTAAAATAAATTCATTGATTTCTTAACTTTTAATTTAACTGAAAAGTAACGATGTTTCCCTTTATCGCCGAATATATGAAATTACTAAGTACACCTAAAATTACAAATAACATTTGTTATTTCTATGAAATTTTAAGCCAGACTAGGCTGTGCAGTGCTGAGAATTATTATTGGTTGTTATTTATTGCCAGTTGATATATAAAGCAAAATCTAATTTATATTTTTCTATTAGATAATATGGACACCTTAGAGAAAAGAGTACGAACCTTATTTGGCAGTTGTCGACGTGGAGAGATAAATACTGATCAAGCTAATACAGAATTTGCAGATATAAAAAGAGGCTACAATAAAACTATTGAGGAAGCAGATGAAAAAGTTACATTAGCCAACCAGATGTATGATTTAGTGGATCGCTACTTAAGAAGACTAGGTTTGTTTGATTTCTATTAAAAACATTTTGGTTTAAGTTATGAGAAAATATAAAATTTAAATACTACTTCATTTTATAATATGATGTGATAATGTCAAGATATTTAACCATTACAGCCCCTCAAAGTGAATTGCTGAACATAGGTCTCACCCATTAAATGCCTCATAGAGGGAAATTTGTCATTGCCACGCTTGCCAGGTGGAATGGCAACTGCAGTTTTTTTGATGTTATCACGAAGACTTGAGATGTTATTAGGAAAATGCTGCTGTCCATCTTCTATTTCAGTCTATCTCTATGGCCTTTTATACCCTCCACGGGATGATATAATATTTGATTTACTAAGCCAAGACATTTCATTACACATTGCGCAGTAACTTCAACTTTCGGTTTACAAAAAATCAGGCTAAAAATACATTGAAAAATATTTATTTATTTTTATTTAAAATTGTTATTCATTTTATTTTATGACTGCATTTTGTAGCTAATTATATATACCATAATAATCTAATAATGGTAGCATATTGTGAAGTATGACATTCAGAGAGTAAATTAGTCAGTAAAACCAATATATTAAATAATTCTTTTCATGATTTTTATATACAGATAGTAGTCTATAAAACTTAAGCAAGGGTGATGATGACGAGTAGTTATTTTTAAATAGTCTTATCCTGCCTATCTTACAGCTTAAATATTATTACAGACACAACAGCCCTCAGCCCATTATGGTGTACATAACTCTTATATAAATAATGTATAAGTGTGTGATGTTATCTAGTTAAAGCTGCAATTCATGCAATAATGACCTATCTATTCCCGGTAATTTACTGCATACAAATATATATACACTAACTAATAGTGGAGACGTATGTAATAATTAGTTTCCTATAGCTTTATTATTTTCTACCAATTCTGTATATTGTTAGCCGAGAGTTTTACAAAAAATAATTAACCACCCTGTGAATAGTGAATAAATCAGAGTTATGTTTAGTATTTGTAAATATGTAATTATATAATATATGAATAAATAGATTAAGTAGTTTTGAAAGGGAAATGGTCAACAAATCAGATAACATGACTGATAATTGTATCTTATTTCAGATACTGAACTACATAAGTTTAAATGTGAATTAGAAGCAGATAATAAGGGTATAACTGAGTTACTAGAGAAACGCTCCTTGGATCTTGACACAAATACGAACCATTCAAGCACATCTAATAATAATCATTATAAAGACAACAGGTATACCTATCTACTTAACTATTGTAATATAAAATTAGAAAGTAGCAAAAATGTTATCTCCACAAAATATGAAAGTTATCTTAAATGCATAGTAATATGTAACTGAAATTGCAACATGTTTCATCCAGTATACCTCAGAATCTTAAAATAAAAGTGAACAAGTAGTGTGCTGCCATATACTCAGTGATGACCTATGGAACTGAGAAATGTGCCTTCACTGCTATCTGTATCGAGAAGTAGAAACTCCCGTGGTGAGCTATGGAGAAGGCAATTCATTGTTTTTCTCCCCTCTATATTTACAGCACATCACAACTGATATAGCTCATTGTATTAGTAAGTGAAACTGAAAAGTGGTCTAGCCATGAAGCTGGAAGAACTCACAAGTGATTGGATAATATATTCTCAAGCTGTTGCTTCATATCAGGAAGAATAATATGGCTCCCATGAAATGCAGTGACATCCTAATGAGATTTGCAGGGAATTATTTAAAGCAGAATAAACCCAGCTGTTTTGCATTTCACTGTAACACGTACAGGAATAGATAGTTACGATGAGCTGAAATTATAATGATATAATGCAAGCTCTACAATATAAAAACAGTTCATTATTTTAATGATAGTGGTTATTAATATTTGTGATAATTTTACTTTGTTTTGTTGATCATTAAGGAAGTGAATAAAATAAAAAATTTTAGCTTAGTGTAGTTATATTACGGTTGTAGCACGAATGAGTGCTCGACCGGGGAAGGACAACACTCATAGAAGATTGAGCATACCTAATCGTGCTCCAACTACTCTACCACATAAAAGATTATTGATTTATAACCTGCATTTGCCATATACGACATTATTTAAATTGCTTTTTTTTCCAAAACCCAATATTTTAGGTACAGAATTCGCGCTGAGAAACGTCGCGACAGTTGGGGTACACGGGAGTCTAGGGCTCATGCTAGCAATGGAAACCTATCTAGAACTGATTCTGCAATTCAAGTAAGTAAACAATCATTTTGACGTAGGTAGTCGCTTAGCTGGTTTAAATAAAGAGTAAAATCTTATAGTATAACAATTGAATAAAATCATCCCACTATAATAAAGTAAATGTATTTTCGATGATATTTTTTAAAAAAATAAACAAATTACAAGGTGCGATTTTAAAAGAAATTCTTATTTATTATTTTCTTTTTATTTCTTTTAACAAACCCTACACCACAAACTTGTAAAAATGTAAACACTTTTGTTTAGTAAATATTTGTCGATTAATGCAAATCCTCTCTACAATGGGAGAAACCCAGCAGTGTTTTTTACGGGCTGGTGAAGAATAAATACTAAACTGACTTAATTTAGTTTATTTTAATTTACGACGGGCTGTTTTCCGCAACTCCACGTCTAAGCGCGTATTTTTCGTGTGGACAAGAATATCACGATTATTCGAGCCATGAAATCTCGACGAAGTTCAGCAGTCTGTTGATGTTGCGAGCAACTTCGGGAAGTGATCTCGGCGTACCGACTGCTGACATGTTAAGCCCTGTATGCAGCAACCTCTGGTCATGCCAGCAACACATGAGTCGCCGTTTTCTCCTCCCTCATACATACTCACAGGAGGAGTCTGTAACGGAATAGAATAGAATAGACTAGATTTCTTATTCAATATTGATTATTACATAATACTTATTGAAAGTCATTTTTTTATTTAACCGCTGGTTCGGAAAATACCTCTGTCCTGGGAGAACCAACAAGAAACCCAGTGGGACTTTTTGTTACACCTGTGACTGTGTTATAACCTGATTTATGAGGATCTGGTAACAGTCTCACAGTGTTTCGGTCCGACGAGACGACACATCGCAAGCATCCTGTCTCAAAGACTACTATATAATCAACACATCTATCTAAACCAGAAAACTATATACCTAGTCAGGTCATAAATTCTGTCACATGTTTAATATAAAATAATTGAAACAAGTTTATTCATTATGTAACCATTTATATACCAAAATGAACTTAACAAAACATAGATTCTTATGACACTAAAGTTTATTCAAAATGACCACCGTGATTTTGAATACAGGCCTTCAATCTGCGCGGCCAGTCGTCTATCGCAGCACGAACGAGGTCCATGTCAATATCGGCGGCTGCCTTAATCAAGGATGTCTTGAGTGACTCCAAATTGGGATGAGGCTTTGAGCACGCCTTTTCCTCCAAGTGTTGCCATATCTTGTAATCTAACGGATTCAAATCTGGACTGGAGGAGGGCCAGTCTTCGTGCCGGATGAAGTCGATTTCACGCGCCGCCAGCCAGTCTTGTCTGCTCTTCGCTCTATGAGCTGGCGCCGAATCTTGTTGGAATACCCAGTGCCTGTTATTGAACATGGTATTAGAAACAGGTTCCACAAGGTTCGTCAGGACTGTATTTTGATACACAACTATTCGTTTTTACACCTTTCTCACAAAAATGTACCTCTGTTAAGCCCCAATAAGAAACTCCCAACCATACCATGAGCGAGGATGGAAAATGACCTCGTTGGACACGCGGAATACGGTTGCTCGCTTCTTCACTACTGTGTGCGTACACTTTATCATTTTGTTTGTTATAGCTCTCTTCTACAGTAAAAAATTTTTCATCCGAAAAAAGGATTTCCCGATATTTTTTTCCCGCGTACCGCTTCAACAAAGCGCGGCATCTCTTCAGTCTCAGGTCCATTAGACGAGCATTCAAACGATGTCCTATTTTTTTTCGATATGCCCGAAGCCCTAAGTCTTCATTTAACACCCTTTTCACCGTGGTTCTGCTTAACCCCATCTGAAGGGCCAACAGTTTCTGCTTACGTTTGGGATTTCTTTGAATTCGCGCCTTCACAGCTTTTTTCACCATTTGTCTATATTACTTATTCTGAACCTGTGCAAATTTGGCCGGTTATTGCAAAATAAAGTTATTTTGTATATACAGGGTTATTTTTAATAACCCTGTATATACATACTATATAATATATATATATATAGTTTTACTAAAACACTGGCCTTAAAGTTAAGTAAACTTTTCTAAACAATAAAGCCAGTACTTGACTATCCCACTTGATAGTAAGTGGTGATGCAGATGATAAACCGCACTGCTAACAAAAGCCTATAAATATTGCCTTCAAGACCCCACACATTCTTTGGTTTATATTTTCATTACTGGTTTACAAGGTTACTGGAGTCATGGCTTAAATCGTCAATCAGCTATTGTTGTATTGATATTTAAAAAAGTATTTCAGTCTAACATTATTATTGTTCCTTAATTACATAAGATTATTCAGACATCCCATGACACAATGAGGCAATAAAATTTATCGAATATGAAATAATTACTGACATTTCGTCATTTTTCGTAGGCTGCGTTGGGGCGCGATTCGTATTCCGTGGGACAAGCTGATAACACCATAGTGATTGCGGCCAGCCAGGCGATCGTCGCCACTCAACAGGTACAGAGCAAAATTTCTAATATATTTTAAATAATAATATCTACTAGCTGAATGTAACGAAGATATAACGACTCATGGTGTCAACCTCACCAGCACTGCTAATCAACTTAAAATTCCTTTCCGACATGCAGTTTTCCTCACGATGAGTTTCTTCATCAATGAGCACGTGGTAAATCACTTTTGTTGAATATATATAATTATTTTATAATCAAAAAAATTACAAATAGAAAAACAATAGAGAAACTGTAGAAAAGGTGTTTTTAGTACCCACATGTAATTGTTGTTTCTTTAAAATTATGAATGAACAATCAAATTATTGTTGCTCTAATAGTTATTTTTCTAAATTAATTAAAAACTTGTACGTATTAATAACACATTTGTACGTGGTAAAGCCATGCTGCAGCTATATTAGCAGTATAGTTGTAGCACGAAAGGGAAAACCCCCGGTCGAGCCGATCCAGAGCCAACCAGCTTAACGCTGCTTTGTTTCGTATGGTGAGTGTAGAGAACCGGAGACCCTTTTTGCTGGACAAGACTTTACTAGACTTTTTACTTATTCCTACGGCGTCTGATAGTTGACGGTATAACCATCTAGAAGTACTTAGACATATGGTACCCGTCTCTTAAGAGTCACGAAGGGGTCGTAAAGAAAAATTAATATTAATATAAGCATGGAAACTCCTCTTTATTTTTGCCCCGTGCTTAAAATAGTTAATCTCCATTGCATTCCCTATCAGAAAGGACGCAAAGGGCGGACTTACTGCCTCTAGGCATTTTCTACCAGTCTACCTATACATGTGAAATATATTGTTAATACAGTTTGAGTAAAATGCCGATTAGGATGAAAAATGTATTAGAAATGTATTCTTCTACACACTCAGGAAGTATACAATTGCATCGTTCAAAATCGCTAAGCTTCTCGTGAGGTCCTTAATAATCACAGATATATAGGTTGATTGCTCGTAGTAGCATCTCGAAGTAGAATTCGCTTTCGTGTTCACGAAATAATTAATTCTCCCACCTAAAGCACATGCTTTTATAGTCGATAATAGGAATATAGAACTTTCTAGTCCAATCCAGGTCATTCCACTCTTTCAACCGGAAATTACTAGAACACTCGTGATTACATAACGATAACAATATGTTCAACGGCGGGAGGCTTTATTCATGAAGACATAAGGTTGCGTGTTGCTTGCATAAATAGTTGAGTTTTATCTATTTTTATGCCTACATATTTTATTACTTGACTTATTAACCCTTATAATCGGGCACATTCTCGTGCAACGGATGCAATACGCAACTCTTTGTCGTAATAATATAAATTTGCAGATGCAACAAGGCCGCCGCACAGCAGCGCTAAAGGCTTCGTACGAGGCGTTCGGCCCGGAACCGACCCATCACTCTATTCACCAGGCCCATCACACTACACATCACGACCATGGTACATATTTCATTATTTTAAGATATTATATCTTTTCATAGTTTTTAAGTGTAATTTTAGACAGAAATAATAGCAAACAGTCCATCTGATAGTATTTTTATTGATATCAAACAAAAGTGACTAACAAACTTACAATAGATAATGCTCCATGACCCTCAGAAATTATAGAGGGCCATTACCCAGTTGCGAGGTTTACCTTTGTTACTTTTTAATTCTTTTTACAGTGTACCGTAGCGGAGAATATCGATATGTATTATGCATTTGCCTCAGGTCACGGAATATCGGCCACTCACAGTCAAAGTAGCAGTGTCCATGGACATCATACCACCTCGCACGGACACAGCACCTCGTCCTCCACGAACAAGCGCCACAACAAGCAAAAGTTAGTATTGAACAATTTAATTGAATTTCCATTTGGTAGTTGTATTGGGCCCAATTTTCAGAAATCCAAATTTTAATATGGTCGTTGGTGAAGAATATATAAAATATGCATATGAGAGGAGGCAAACTAGCATTCGGCTCACCTGATGGTAAGTACAACTGCAACACTAGGGTGTGGACTGGACGATTGGTGTGTGGTTGATCACCAGATCATCCAGATGTTATGGATGGTAACGCGAGTTTTGTCGCGATGTGCAATTTCGTCCCGTGGTTGTCGCAAGAGGCGACTATAGGAAATTATAGAAAAGTCTTGTGGCCGCCTATAGATGAAGGCATAATCAGCTCGTTTACGTTCAATAAAACACGACAAGCGACGGGCAGCAGTACGTCAAAGATGCGGAACGTCTAGTACTGCAATCGTCAATCCATAGCAGTTTCTTTAATCTTGAGATCTGTAGGAATGTACGCTGGCTCGTTGGTGTCGTGCTCGTAAACGCGACTGCTGATCATGTGGGCCTTACATATTTTTTTAATATTTTTTGTTTTAAAAATTATTAAGAAAAAAAATTACAATTAATTTTTCATGCAATTTTACAATTAAAAATGGTTTTTCTAACATGTAAATTCAAACGCCAGTGACGTCGCTTTAGTAACGCCACCGCATGGGGAAATGATAAAACACGAATGTTTACGTTGTCAAAATAAAAAAAAAATTGTCATTGCCTATTAATATACATGTTTTGTAATGACCCATGGTAATCCGAATATAGAAAATACTAAAGTATAGCATGATTGCGATTGGCTCACAGCCTCAACGGATATAATAACTTCACAAGCAATCATAAGTAGTTTTTTTTTCATTCAAAAATTTTACTATATTTTATTAATAATAACAAAAAATGAAATTGTTAATAAAAAAATACTTTAAATGAATTATTCTGTCATTTATATATAAATTTGTGGCAAAAAAAATGTATGCAAATTTTGGAACTTTGAAAACTTGAGCTTTGTATTTGAAACGTTACAATTTTCTTATATTGTTTGTAGGAAAAGCGCGTACAGTTCAAGTTCCGGTGTGTCGTCACACGCACAACAAACAGTCGTCGCGGCTGCAAGTCGTTCGTCTTCGCCCACCGTAGTGTGAGTCTTGTAATTTTCTCCATAATTCACAGTAATAATAAAATAAGAACTAATTTACATTCATTCCTGACAGTTATATTTTACTTACTCAGCTTCCTTTGTTCTTTTGATTGATGTTTGTTTTTTAACACTGAAATATCAAATCACGAACTGATATTGAAAATTCCGTTTCCAGTGGCATTAATAATGTAGTGAACAACGTAACTATCGAAGAGCCAATGGAGGAGGAATGGACTTATGACCCTAACGAGCCACGCTACTGCATCTGCAACCAAGTGTCTTATGGCGACATGGTCGCCTGTGACAATCAGGATGTAAGTGTTGCAAGAATTAAAACTACTTGTCAGTATATTTTTAACATCTAGTAAATTAAACGATCTCCAATCTATATGCTTAACTAAAGAAAATTCGATTCTCTTTTACTACCTATGTTAGACCTCGTTTTTCTTAGCAGTGGAAGGGAGAACCGAACTTATTTTGGAGCATGTTCGATTAAAATGTAAGCTTTACCTTATTAGGAACCCACGATTCTACACTACTAGTAAGTACCACGTAAGGACGTGGCCGTCAAACTGAAATTGACGAATTTTAAATCACCTTTATAACGCAAAGTTTATAGTACTTATTTAAGTTTAATGCAGCTGACGAACTATGAAATTTAAGATGAACACTCAGCTGCTTGTACAGATGAGCCGTGGTAGCTCAGGGGCGAAGCGCTCGCTGTAAATTTCACAGTACGCAAGCAACCCGGGCTCGATCCCCGCCAGCTTCAATGAAATTGTTTATTGCAATTTTAAGTGCTGATTTATCACATGCTCGGCGGTGAAGGAAAACCTCGGTGAGGAAACCTGCATGTCTGAGAAAGAAGAAAAAATATTTCAAAGAAATATGAAGCACTCCAACAAACATTGGGGCAGCGCGGCGGACATTTCCTTACCATAAAACCCTCTCAGAAACGAGAAGAGGCCTGTGCACAGCAGTAGGACGTATGTCTATCTGCTATTCTTGGCCCTCTATTTTATAAATGTCTCTCTTTTTCAAATGATCGAAATATCATAAAAACTAAAATAGCTATCTTTTATTGCAGTGTCCGTACGAGTGGTTCCATTACCCATGCGTGGGCATCACGGCGCCTCCAAAGGGCAAATGGTACTGCCCACAGTGCCAGACCAACATGCGACGTAATCGCAACCGCAAGAATTAAACACATTCGAAGTATCTATTATAAAGGCTTTTGTGTACGTTACTTCGTAAAATGCAATATATCTGTTTGATCTATCAATATATTACTGTAAAAGATCTGTTCATATTTGTCCAGATTTTTTTTTTTGCTTCAAAGCCATTTATATTCAAACATTATTTTAACTATGTCTCAAAAATACTTCTGTGAATTTTACTACAAAATATGTTAATAATTAAGGTTGGTATTTATAACCGAATCATAATATGTATATTCCGATTTTGATTCCTTTAAGCCAATCCAAGCTTAAATTTAAAGATATTTTTACCCAAAAATAAGTGTTCCTTATCTTGGATAGCTTAATAAAAATAACTTACTAATCCGCTTTAGTCTTTTTTATTTGTCGAGATGGAATGTCATAAAAAGCACGGTGGTAGAAGAGCCACGCAGCAGTTTTTGCTGTTGCACGTATGGGCCGGCTCGAGCCGGGTTGGTACCACGATCTCACAGAATACCGGCGTGAAAAAGAAAGCTCTGCGTTCCGCCTGGTGAGTGCAGGTGGCCGGAGGCCCAATTCCCCCACCCCCCACCCCATCAACATGATAGCGGAATTACACGTTAGACTCCACCAGGAGGGTACCAGCACCCCTGGAGAATCCCTCGCTGAGCATCTACGACCATGTTATTCCACTCCTGAACGTGGGTGCTCAGGCTGCCACGCGTATTCTGGGGGGGGGGGGGGAGGGGTCAAAATTCCGCTCAAAAACATAACTGCTCGGGGCAAACTGAGCAACAAGACCAAGGCGACCCCTGCCACGCTATCCGTGAATTTCTGAAACATCAGGGGACTTCACTAGAACCTAAACGCCGTCCACTACCATCTCGAGACGGCGAAGCCGGCCTTGCTCTTTCTAATCGACACGCAGGTTTCCTCTCCGGCTGATATTTCGTATCTCTCCTACCCGGGGTACAAATTGGAGCATTCCTTTGTACCTCGGGTGCCTGGAGTTTGCGTGTATGTCAGAGAGGACATCTGTTCTCGACGCCTCGGCAGTCTTGAAGGTTCGGACCTGTCCATCCTATGGCTACGCGTAGACAGCGACGACCATCCGCGCGTCTACGGGTGCCTCTATAGAGGTCCCATAGCGGTAATGCTGAAACAGATCGACTCATTGACCACGTCCAAATGGCTACAGATTCTTTGCTACAACAGGTCCCATCCGCAGAGATCGTGATCCTTGGCGATTTTAACGCCCACCACGCAGCATGGCTCAGTTCACGTTTAACCGATCATGCGGGGAGATCTGTTTATGACTTTGCTTTGGCATATGGTCTGACACAACTGGTTACTTCGCCTACGCGGATTCCAGATGTGGAGGATCATACACCTTCCCTGTTGGACCTGCTGACCTCTCATCCGGACGGATATCAGGTTTCCGTCGATGCCCGTCTCGGCTCTTCGGACCATAGTCTGATCCGGAGTGTGGTGCCACTCACGCTCCCCTCGCGGTTGCGTTCTGCAGGTTGCCGCCGTGTTTGGCACTACAGGTCGGCGGGTTGGCACGGAATGCGGTCTTTCTTTGCATCCTACCCATGGGGGCGGGTTTGCTTCGCGCCGGATGACCCCAGCGCTGTTGCTGACACCAGCACACTTAAAAAGAAGTATAACTTCGCCTCCAAGTCCTTCAAAAGAGTTATTTCCAAGGCAAAGTCAGAGCACATAGGCAGAATTGGCGAGAAACTAGTTCGCCTTCCTTCGGGAACCCGTGCATTCTGGTCTCTCGCCAAGGCTGTCCAAGGGAATTTCTGTAAGCCATCACTACCATCTCTGCACAGGGAGGACGACTCACTGGCCCAAGACGCAAAAGACAAAGCCGACCTTTTAGGCTCCCTTTTTGCGTCCAACTCGACTCTTGATGACGGGAGGAAAACACCGCCGACCATCCCGCGGTGTGAGTACTCCATGCCGGATGTGCTGTTCTCACAGCGCTCGGTTCGCAAAGCACTCCTCTCCCTGGACATCCAAAAGTCGAGTGGGCCTGACGGAATCCCCCAATTGTGCTGAGGACGTGTGCTCCGGAGTTGGCACCGGTCCTAACGCGTCTTTTCCGGTACTCCTACTCCCAAGGCGTAGTCCCGAATTCATGCAAGACAGCTTTTGTCCACCCGATCCCTAAAAATGGCGACCGCTCAGACCCGTCCAACTATAGGCCTATCGCGATCACCTCCTTGTTCTCCAAAATAATGGAATCAATTATTAACTGCCAGCTCATGCGGTACCTTGAGGATTACCAGCTGATTAGTGACCGCCAATACGGTTTTCGTCGGGGTCGATCAGCGATCTTCTGGTCTACCTGACCCATAGATGGGCAGAGGCAGTAGAGTCCAAGGGGGAGGCGTTGGCCGTTAGTTTGGACATTGCGAAGGCCTTCGATCGGGTTTGGCACAAAGCGCTTCTTTCGAAACTCCCTTCCTATGGGCTTCCCGAGAAATTGTGCGATTGGATCACCAGCTTCCTTGCAGATCGGAGCATCAAGGTTGTTGTAGACTGTGCATGCTCCGACTACAAGCCTATTAACGCTGGTGCTCCACAAGGCTGTGTGCTATCACCAACGCTGTTTCTTCTGCATATCAATGATATGTTGCTAACTGGTAACATTCATTGCTATGCGGATGACAGCACTGGTGATGCTCTATACACCGGCCGTGCCAATATTTCTCGGGAAAACGTCGCCGAGTACCGGAACAAACTTGTGTCTGAAGTCGAGTCTTTGCTGAACAAAGTCTCGACTTCAGACTCGGATTGGGGGCGACTTAATCAGTAGTCCAGTTTAATCCTCAGAAGACACAAGTTTGCGCGTTTACCGCTAAAAAGAACCCCTTTGTCGTATCTCCTCAGTTTTAAGGCACTCCCCTTCTTGCCTCAGCTAGTACCGGAATCCTCGGAGTCGACATATCGAGTGACGTGCAGTTTCGTGGTCACTCGGAAGAGAAGGCCAAATTGGCCTCTAAAAAGCTTGGCGTGCTCAGCAGAGCGAGACATTATTTCATGCCGGCACACCGCCTGCAACTTTACAAGGCGCAGATTCGGCCTCACATGGAATACCGTTCCCATCTCAGGGCAGGGGCTCCCCAGTGCCAGCTCCTTCCACTTGACCGCATCCAGCGTAGAGCGGCTCGAGTCGTCGACGACCGAGTCCTTTCCGATCGGCTCGATTCATTGGCACTGCGAAGAGATGTTGCATCCCTTTGCATTTTCTGTCGCATCTACCACGGGGAGTGCTCTGAGGAATTGTTCGGATTAATCCTAGCCGCCAAATTTCACGAACGCACATCGCGGTAGAACTCCCGATACCATCCACACCATCTGGATGATTGGCGGTCCACCACTGTGCGATTTAGAAGATGTTTTCTTCCTCGCACGACTTCCTTGTGGAATCGATTACCATCAGCGATTTTTCCGGACCGATACGACTTAGAGACCTTCAAGAAAAGAGCGTACTCCTTTTTAAAAGGCCGGCAACGCATCTGCGATTCCCTCACTGGTGTTGCAGCTGTTCAAGGGCGGCGGTAGTCACTTACCATCAGGTGAGCCGCATGCTCGTTTGCCCCCTCTTTAAGCTTTGAGCATAGAAAATAGAGGAGCTACCCAGAGCGTCTATATATTTTATTGGTTATACAAATATGGTTATATTCGACATTGAACTGTCAATATGCTGCCTATATCTTTTTCACTCAGCGAAGTGTAAGTCTGTGTCATTCATAAATGAAACAAATAATAGAAATTGTTTCGTATTCTTACGGCCGATTCCGCCATTTATTGTTTCAGATTTGCTGTTATAAAAAGTCGTATGATATTTCTTAATTTGAAAATTTTGCGAATTTTTAAACAGTTTATAGTGAATTTTCCAATTCATTATGACATACGAAGATGACTAAGTGTTGTGTAAGAGGCTGAGCCTCAAAATATAGTCAAAAATCACGCGAACTATCATTTCATATGTGAGTGATTTAGTTTTTGGTATAAATATAGTGTAAAAACGTTTATATCTTTTGCGACAGTAAGTAGATGGATGTAATTATTTACCCTAAACCTTTAATTCATATTATTTAATTACATCTTATCATTCTTTGCGTATCTATAAGATTTTGTTGTTCGTAAATAGTGATGTGACATTGCTAACAATAAATTCTTTCAATGACATACTTTATTAAGATTTTTCTTAATTTATTCTGTCGTATTATGTGAAAAAGTTTTGCGTTATGCATTGCATTATTTCAATGTCATGGGTCTGAGCAGTGAGCATAAATGATTAACTAAATTATACGGTAATGGAGTTACATTCATGTTTGGTGTAAGATCTACGGTACCTACATAATAAAAGTGAAGCAAAGCAACAAAGATTATCTGAAAGAAAAATTCATCTATTTATTTTTTATTTCCATTCTACGTTTTTGTTAGTTGCGTCCTTCTTTATTATGACGGCAGCCTAGCCTCCCTAATCATTAGAGAAAATATAAATTTGCATATTTAAAAATAAATAAAAATACATATAGGTGTAAATAAATTTTAAAAGTTGATTGACTTCACATCACTAAAAAATGGGCGGAGCTTACAGCGTCCGCCATTTATTGTTTCAATTTGACACGATTTTTGTAAACTTGTCATCTCTTCTATTTTCTATGCTCAAAGACTTTAAGACGTGACTACACACACACGCACGCATATATACCATGCGCAGTATCCTCTTAGTAGTCTGTGGTCATACCTAGCATTGCCAACATGTGGGGAATTCTCCAATTTGCGGGCAAATTAAAGATGATTGGGGATTGGTATTAAGCGGGGGAAATGCGGGGATTTTGAAAATCGATAGCTCGGGCCAAGTCAGAACCCTTATTCAAGAAATCTAAATACTTATCTTAACATTTTTGTTAGGTTACTTATGAATATCGAATGGCTCCCTTTTTTAATTATCTTTATTGCACCACATTTCATTTTCGGATTTATTTCGGCAACTTTTGTCTGCCAAGCTTTTCATTCCTTTATTTTTTAATTTTAAAGCAGAGAACCGCATGCATATAAATGCAGATACTGTGGTACTTTTTACCGGCAACAAGGGAAGGGATTAAAAATACTACATGGAGTAAAATACTTGTTACAAAAATATGGAACGTGTGAAAAACGAAATTTTCGGTAAAAAGGAAAAAAAATGTTTATTAAAATTAGTTGAAAATTGTTTCATTTCTTAAAATAAAATTGGAAGGAACTTATTGGGAATCTGTTGAAGTTTTGTTCCTAAATTTAGGAATTTGACATGGATCTTCGGGGAATTTGCCATGGATTTTCGGGGAATTTGACAAATTGGTGTTGGCAATGCTCTCATACCATATTATGAAATGGTAACACTAACTGACTAATATCCATGAAGTTGAGTTTTGTCGGGAAATTGACCGGCGGCGGTTTGCTGCTCCTGTATTATTGTTTAAATAATGGTTTGAAGTGGACTTTGATATGTAAAAGTGTTGCGATTTTGTGTATTAAGTGTCTACGCATGTGAACTATTAGTGGAAACAGTGAAACAAGTGCTCTGATGGTGATGGATTCTCAAGATAAGCTGTTTGTTTGCATAGGCACCTTTAGATACCATCGCCAACTATCAGCTGTCTGCTGGATCAAGTTGCCGCCAAAATCTCCCAAGAACTGCACAATGTGACGCATCAACATATTGTGAAGCAGTATACTATGAAGGAGTGGGGAAATTACAATAAACCGAATAAAAATACTTAAGACTTGGCCTAAAGGTCTAGATACCAGGCCATAAACTCCAAAAAAAAATATCCATGAAGTTATAGATAAAGATATAACTTCATGCTAATATCAATACTATGGAGTGTAGAGTAGAAGGAGGACCATCTCTGTATATGAAAAGTGTCCCTAAAAACGCGTCCAATAAGGGTAGCGCTGCAGTAGCATAGGATAAATTTTTAAAAAAGCGCCAAAATTTATTAGAATAAGATGGAGAAATAAACAAGGACCGACCAATCCGCTTGGTTTTGTACTACGTAAATAGTTGAGGTTTTGTATACTGGCATTTTACTTACTACTCTAGTCATGAAATTTTTTAAATATTTTAATTCAGCTGACTTCACTCCGTCTACAACAGCTATATTCATATCGTAGTTTTTCAGACGCCAGCGCTATTCTGGTAGGTTTTGGAACCTCTATTTTCAGTATATATTGGGACACTTTTTCAACTTTCGCACCTTATAAGATGGTTCTCCTACTACTCTACACTCCATAATCAATACCACAGAATACCTTTATGGTCAATAGATACTACTACACTGGTATAAAGTGTATTATCTATGCTACTCCATCTCTGTGGACAGTTACTATACTCTTTGATCTATGTACTACATGTGTTGTGGACGGGGTTTGGCGGGAACTTGACCGGCAGCGGTTTGCTGCTCCTGTATTATTATTTAAATAATGGTTTGATGTGGACTTCGATATGTAAAAGTGGTGCGATTTTGTGTTTTGTCTGCGCATGTGAACTATTAGTGGAAACTGTGAAACAAGTGCTCTGACGGTGATGTAATTCTTAAAATAAGGTGTCTGTCTGCTTAGGCGCCTTGAGATACCATCGCCAACCGTCAGCTGTCTGCTGGCTCAAGTTGCCGTCAAAATCTCCCAAGGGCTGCACAATGTGACGAATCAACATATTGTGAAGTAGTATACTATGAAGGATAATTATTATAATATTTTGTAACTTCAGGCTCAGAAGGGCTAGATCTCAGAGCCGTAAAGCCAGTTATTAAGAAGAAGAAGTGTACTGTGGTCGTTATTGATTCTCTAGTATAGATGTGCCAACTCGGAAAAAATACAACTCGAGTTAACTAGAGTTGAAATTCGCTTAACTCGAGTTTAAACTCGAGTTACGGAACTCGAGTTAGCAGTACGAAACAGAAAAAGAAATTCATAAAAAAGTAATTTGTAACAAATCATTTACTCTCTCTAGCTCTTTGGCAGGTTGGCATAACCCTAATACCAAACTTATTATGTAGTATTGAAACAAAAAGTTATATTTAGTATGTATCACACACTTATGTATATTTGACTTTAAGCTTAGTCATAGTAAGTACTTGTATTTAACAGTAAAACTAGCTATGTAGCAGTCTTCACGAAACAATATTTATTTTTGCTTTAAGATAAGATTTTCAAAATTAAAATATTTATTGTAAGTTAAGTATTACAGTTGGCGTTAACTTAAAATATGGTGTATCTTACAAATGAACCACCCTTTTCGGGTATAAGAATAATAAGTCTGTGACTCACATAAATATATTGAACATAAACCCTTCAAAATTAAAAAAGAAAAAATAAATTACATAACTTAGCTATTCGAAAATTCTAAATAACAAATTATTTTAGTTGTAGCTAAATACTGTTTAAAACACAAAGGGCGCACACAACGAACAAATCGTAGTCTTACTCTTTTGCTGGCTCATTTGATCCGTTCATTTACAGCAGCCCAAACTTGAGTTAGGGAGATCTAACTCGAGTTAAGCGCAACTCGAGTTAGTAACTCGAAGTCGAGTTGACCCACAGAGTACTTTTTAAGTTGACCCATCAGCCCATCACTATTCTCTGGGGTATGTACAGTATGTACAGTTTCTAGAAATTGCGGGAGTTTTCAGTTTGACTTAGCTTGCTACATATATATTTATCTATGGTTTGACTATTTTGGAGTCATCTGAAGAATCATCAAATTCAATTCGCAGTTTTTTTCAGTTTTTTTCAGATTTAGAGGGGAAGTAGAATCCCTTAGTCCGTGGTCCCGTAAAAAATATACAGTCCAATACTGGAAGATTTGTTCTCACTTTGGATTGTGATTGTAAATTTCATGTTGAATGCCCTCGGCGAATCGTCGGCTTTTACAATTTAAATTATATTAATATTTGTGAAAATTCATCGCGTTCAAGTTTCATTTTAAGTCTTGATACCAAAATTCTTTGATAATAAGGTACTCTGTGCAGAATATACCAGCAAAGTTGAGAATTTTGTGTGTTGAAAAGTGAGCCGATCAAAATGTCAGAAGCAAAAATAAGTGAGGTTAGTTATGATTTTTTTAAATTATACTATTAGTAAGGCTATGGAGGTCGGATTGTTATTATAAAATGTTCCTTTATATTTTTTATAGTGTTTTCCTACTACTTCTAGTAATGTAAAGTTCATAGTTAGTCTATATGCTGAACATAGGCCTCACCTATGGATGTCGTAAGAGATGACAGAGGGAAACAAACAAGGAGATGAGTAGCAGTGTCTTCCTAATAATATTAAACAAAAAAAAAAACTACGGCTGTCGGGAATATCATTATCATCATCATTCGTCATTACAGCCCTTCACAAGTCCACTGCTGAACATAGGCCTCCCCCAAGGAATGCCACAAAGCACGGTCCTAAGCCACCGCCATCTATTGGCTTCCTGCATATCTATCTTATCAGGTTGTTACTCATCTAGTGGGAGGATGCCCTACACTTCGCCTGCCGGTACGAGGCTACCACTCGAGTACCTTTCTTCCTCATCGGTTGTCGGTTCTTCGAACTACATATATGGCCGGCCCATTGTCACTTTAGCTTACTAATCTGTTGGGCTATGTCGGGTACTCTGGTTCTACTGTGGATATCCTCGTTCTTAAGTCTATCACACAGAGAAACCTTGAGCATCGCCCTCTCCATAGCTCGCTGAGTGCCTTTGGACTTCCTCATAAGACCAGCAGTGAAGGGCCACGTCTCAGATCCATACGTCATCACTGGCAACACAACCAGTGCGGTTGTGCAATAAAAGTGCTGTTGGGAATATAAAATAATTTAATTATTGACATCTATAATAAACTGCCAACTGAGAGTCAGACTCGTGCATGAAGAGTTATATTTTTATTATTTGTTGTTATAGTGGCAACAGAAATACACATTTCGGTAAAAGTTTCAACTGTCTACCTATTATGGATCATGAGATACGGCACGCTGACAGACAGCAGAGGCTTAGTAATAGGGTCCCATTGGTTACCCTTTTGGAACAGAACCCTAAAAACTAGTTTAAACCATTTACATCATAATAAAAAATTCTGAAAGTTATGGGGTAAAATATAGATTTTATTAATTTTCAGTTTTACCAAAAAAAATATAGCCAAGATCACTTCTGGCATTGCTCCCCATCTATTGGTGAAATTTCATCACAATTATTTGTCATTCCGAAGATTAGTTTAGTATGACATACAAAAATTTAAAAAATGGTTAATCATGCCTTAAGGGATTGTAATAACCCCCATGAGTAAAACAGTGATATGTTTTAATTAGGTCTTGAGTGAATGATACTCTTGGCACCTTTGACACTGCCGGCGCGGCGCTGTGCCGAAAAGTAAATATAGGTAGGGTACTGTATTTCTCGGCAACCTCCCACGGGACACTGGCAAGCGACGCGTGGATCGGTAATGACTTGAAATATCGATAATTTTTTAATAAATGTATTGAAAAAAATAACGATGGGGTAGACTCTATTCCAAAATAAATTAATTGATACTATTTATAGAAAAAAAGGGGTATTTGTACTTGTTTAAAATTAAATTGGGTTAGTCATAGATGTCCAGTACTTGATTTTAATTATGTTTTCACTTTAGGAGGTTTGTTAGGTTTAAGCTTGAACTTTTTACACTGTTTTTGGATGTCGGAAATGTGTTTTGAATTAATTACGATAAAAATAAATTTCACCAACTAAAATTACATGATAACAAAACAGGTCACCGATAAAAAGTTAATTACTCTGACCCAGACAATCCAGTTGTGGCTGAAGATGGGACTTATACACAACAAATTGAGGCACAGTGGAGAGCAGTCAAAGAGGTTTTTCAGAAAACAAAATTATAACAATTCACATTACAATGTTTCATTTCCACACTAGCAAAATTTAGTGCAACCTGACTTTATAGATAAGATAGGTCGAATCTGTACTAAAAATCAGAATACCGAATCAGAATGTCCCGACTCCACTTAATCTTGTCTGCCCTACCCCAAGAGTGTTTTTGTACAGTGTAGGCGTGGAGAGAGAGCTGCCGCCACCCGCTATAGCAAATCGCGGGTATAATGTGAGCATGGATGCCTGTGATTTACTACGCAATGGGGAAGTTGCTGCACTTCCTGCAGCACCGAAGTCGTTGCATAAGTAACTTTGAGTCAATATTCCTGTCTAAAAAAGGAAAGAAGAAAGAAAGAAAGAAGTTGAAGTGTCTGCTTGTAATGTCAAAATAACAGCTTTTTACTAAAATTCATGATTTATTATTTTAAACATTAGTATAATTATTCACTGGTATACTGGGTTACACAAAAAGAGATAGAAAGAGAGCTGTAGATCTAAGAGAAATTACCAAAATTGAAGATGTAGTAGTTAAAACTAGAAAACTCAAATGGAGGTGGGTAGGCCACATGATGAGAGAGAATAGAAATAAATGGACAAAAGATATAACAGAATGGACCCCTAGATACCAAACAAAAAGGAAACGTGGAAGACAAAGAAAACGTTGGTCGGATGACTTAAGAAAGCATGTGGGTCCCATATGGCACAGAACAGCTAAAACAAGAGCAGAATGGAGAAAGCTGGAGGAGGCCTTTGTGTCGCAAAGACAAGCCGATGCGACACGGATAACAATGACATACTTACCTAATAATATAATATCAACTAAAATTACATACATAGTGATATTAATAATGTATAATAGTAATTCAATAATGTTAATGTTAATAATGGATTTAATGTTAAGGTCAATTTTACTTTTAAAGTTATATATTTTAATTTGCATGTTTAATTTTTAACTATGAAATGATAAATTATGTATATTGTGTTGGCAATAAAGGCTTATAAAATAAAAATTATTCACAAATATTCATTTTGAAAAGAAGTCTCCCTCATTTATTTATGTAAACATGTCAATTGGTCTGTACATGTATGTAAAAAAATGACAGGTTGTGCATGATAAACACTTCAAATTATCGAGAGTAGGGAATCCCAGACTTCCAATTATTATGTTGGCGGGCAAGATACTGTACCTTCAACTTCTATTTACCGAGGGGGCTAATTAATATTGATTTTATTAAATTTATCGAGTACTTTTCAAGGGACCGAAAAAGTTTCAAATTATCAAGAGATTCAAATTAACAAGTGTCAAATTATCGAGAGTTGATTGTATATATGGTACTTATTAATAAAACAATTTTTTAAATTTTTGTCTGACTGTCGGTCTGTCTGTCTGTATGTTTGTTCTAGCTAATCTGCTAAACCGCTAGACCGATTTCGACGGGACTTTCACTGACCGATAGCTGATGTTATAGGGAGTAACTTAGGCTACTTTTGTTTTAGAAAAAGAATTAGGGTGCAGTGTAAAAACATAAAACCCATGAAATCAAATCGTAATAAATTCCACACGGGTGAAGTCGCAGGGAACAGCTAGTACCTAAATAATATTACTACAATAATAAAGATTGTTGTTTGATATTTTACAGCTGAAAAACGATATTGATGAATTAAATGATTTATTGAAGTTGGCTAAACGTAAGAGAGTTCAAGACCTTTTATCGGTGGAAGTGAGAAAATTAGAAACTGAATGGATCAAATTAAGGGATAGTGCTTCATCCTCTATCACCCCTATGGAAGTTACTCCTGTACCCACTACATCTGCTCTAGTTCCTGAAAAGCGATATCAAGTAAAGCTTAATGGTTATGGTAAGCATAAATCTTATTTGAATACATCTGTTGTAAATATGGTTGCACGTTGTTTAAAGAGTATTATATATGTTCCTTTGTACGTACATGACTTAGGAACAGATAATTTGATGATTATATGTATATACAGGGTTATTTTGCAATAACTGGCCAAATTTTCAGAGAGGGTTCAGAATAAGTAAAAAGTAAAAAATAAGAAAAATTAATTAAAAAAAGTCTCAAACATTCTTTTTTTTTATCTTTTAAATTCAAATGCGTGGAAATGCATTATTTTAACTAATTTTTATTAAAAGTAGAAGCCTTATTTACTCATATTTTCAAAAACTGCAATAATGGTATATCATTATTTGTATATTTAAACTTAAGTTTAAAATTTGGCTACTCTTTGAAAAAAACCCTGTATATTGTGTTTCTCGATACATTAAATGAAAATACATATTCAGTATCACATTTCCAGATCTTTGACATAACTTTTTACATAATTTATCAATATTTATACAGCTATAAATACTTTTCTAATAATTAATTGATTCCAGTTTCCCTTAAATAAATTAAATGTCATATTTAATTATTTTATTTGAGTTTATGGTAGGTACTTGAATTACAGAAATGTAAGTGGTTCATGTTTTATTAACTTTTCTGCCGACTTCCAAAAAGGAGCCGGTACTCAATTCGACTGTATGTTTTTTTTTTTTTCGTTTTTTTTTTTTTTTATGTGTGTTACCTCAGAACTTTTTTATGGGTGAACCGATTTCGATGATTCTTTTTTTATTTGAAAGCTGGTACTTCTCGTGTGGTCCCATATGAATTTGATCAAGGTCAGACCAATAGTTTTTAAGTTATTCTTAAATAACTTATATTGAAGTCGGCTGTACAAAATTTTTAATTTTAAATTATTAAGTGGTATAATCAGTTGCAATTTAACGAAAATGTGGTATTACACCTTATGACATTTTAGTGTGAATAAATGTCATCAATGGGAGTGGGGCAAAATGTTAATTTTGCAAAAAAAACTTTTCTTGAAATTTTACTGAGATCAAGTGTTAGTGTTAGTTTTTGCTTTATTTGTGTTTTTTATATTTTAAATTTCAAAAGGTAACTTATGCTCATATTGCAACAACCATGAGGTTTTTTTTACCAGTGATTGATTATCTAATTAGAAACAATTACATGAACTTCCCCGCAGTGATCATAAAAGGGTCACAACTTTGATTAAAGATATTTTCATAAACTGAAATAGTCACTTTCTACTGTGATCTTGTTTTAGATAAACCAAATGTGCAGTGTCAATAAAATTAAAATTCACAAGATTTGATATAACACTTTATTTTTATTATTTACACTGATTAAAAAAATTACCTGTATTCAAGATAATCATTAGTATGTCTTGGAGACATTAGGCTTGCCATTTCTACACGTCATTTTCGGGATATTCTGTTAAAAATTTTGGATATTTAGCAAGTCCAAGTAGTATGTATGTTGTTTTGTAAGTTTTTTGTTACGGATTTTATTTAAAATTTCTACTTGATTTTCACTTCAGGTTGGGATCAATCAGACAAATACATAAAAGTGTTTGTTACTCTAAAAAATGTACATAACTTACCAAAAGAACAAGTTTACTGTAAATTAACAGAAAAATCTATGGAGCTCATTGTAGAAAATTTGGAAAACAAAGATTATACACTACTAATTAATAAATTGCTTGAACCAATTAACGTCGGCGAGAGTCATTGGAAACAAAAAACTGGTAAGTTTTTTTAAATTATCAAGCTTAAATAATAGACTGTCTAATTAATTATAGAAAGTATTCTTCCCTGTCTTCTAATTTTTTTAACCTATGAATATTATTCAAAAATTATTTTACTCACTAAGGCGCTGCGCAAACGGTTTATTGTTACCGACACGGCACACATCACAGGAAACCGTAGTCGCTGTGTCCGGTAGCGGCAATCGGATGCAGTCGCCTGTGCTACTTCTGGTAACAATTCGTTGCTTGTTTTCCGTCAGTTTCACCTTGGATGTCTATGGAGGAATGTTACCTTTGCTTGTTGTGTTGATTACACGTTTACGTCGACGTCGTCGCCGTCTATATTTACAGGAAAATCAACCACGTCAATGTCAGCGCCGTACAATTGTAAGGAAATTTGCTTTGTGTTGCTTGTGTCTTCAACTGACGACTTAGTTTCCAGTTACCTACACCGTTTTGTATGGCGGTCGGTATGTGTCAAGTGGAAGCAACTGGACACAAAAAGTGTCTATGTCTGTGCAAGGAATGGCTGTATTGATTACATGAAAATAAAATATTCATTGGTAGCTTGTATCCCACAAAGACATAAAATTGTCTAGGTTTGCGCAGCACCTAAATGTACAATAATTATGCACCCTATGTACATTATCAGTATCATTTAATTATTTACAATTTTTGTTTTACTAAAGAGAAGACATATACTTTACAATGTATAGCTGAGACTTGTGGAGTGCTTCCCGCTGGGGAAGTTTTCTCTGCACACCAATCTGTCCTACAACCAATCTGCTCATAGTCCATCGACTGATTGCATGATAAATCACAAAAAAAAAACAATTTTTGTATCTTTATGCTGTCATTTTTTTTGCTTTTCTTTATTTAAAAAACGTTACCCCTACATTAGGATTTTCTCCTGTATCGTGGAGGCAGTTTACAAACATATATTGCACGATGACAAACATCCAGTCCCGGAACAAGTATTTGTATGGCCTACAAATACTTGTTCCGTGCGGGATTCGAACCCGCGACCCCCAGCGCAACAACTCATTGCTAAGTCACTGCGCCACGGTGCCGTCGAAATCTTCATTCTTTAAATAAAGTACAAACTTACCTTATTTCATAAATGTAAGCTTTTTAAATAGCAGTTTAATATTTTCTTGCAGATATGGTTGTCATTTTCTTAGCAAAACAGCATCCAAACATTAAATGGTCTCACATGACTGAAATTGAGAAGAAATTTGAAGACCAACGCAATAACCGTTTCAAGAGTGATGACTTTGACAAAAAGGACCCACAGGAGTCAATAATGAGCCTTATGAAGAACATGTGAGTAATATTGTTCTGATTTCTTATTAATGTATGTATAAAGAAAAGTTTATGTACATAAGGGTGACTGATATTTCATATTATTTTATGTATTTGAAATAAGCAAATAACGATATTGTTTGTGTGGGCTGGGAACGAACCTAGATACTTTACGTGCATTGCGGCGGGCGCTTGACTGCTGAGCTATCACAGCTACGGTGCTTGCGTATGTGTATTGTAAACTTTATTGTAAGCTAGTCTAGTGTAAAATTATACTTTGTTTGTAAGAGCTATATACATATATTACTAATATTATCATTTAGTAAGAAGTATATTTGTTATTGTTCCAGGTATGAAACAGGCGATGACGAAATGAAGCGAATGATCTCAAAGGCGTGGTATGAAGGGCAACAAAAGCAGAAAACGAGCACTTTATACCTATAAATGAATCATTGTCTATATTTAAGATATTAATTTTAGGGATATGATTTAACTTTTAATTGTCTTATTTGGATGTATAGTCACCCGAGGCAAGTGTGACAGTGGGGCAAGTGTAACAAATGCAAATTATGCGGCATAAACGCGTTTTTTTTTTGTTGGTTAAATTCCATTTATTGAACAACGCAGGAACTTTTACGCTATTGACTATACCGAAAGTTAAGTATATAGTTTCAACCATTTTATCGACAGGCGTCATTTTTTTAAAAGTACTCAGAAAAGTTGCCCATGTGGGGGAAAACTCATTGTTACATAAAAATGGATGTTCTAATCGTTTATAGATTTTAAAATATTTTGACATTAGTATGATCTTTTCAATTTTGTCGAAAACCACAGATATGGTAACTACAAAAAGAAGCGTAATGTCATACTTGCCTCATTGATGGGGTAAGTGTGACATTCTTCTACCTCAATTAGTTTTAATTTTCTTAAATTACAAAATTCTACATGTAGATACTAAAATGCTTGATAAAACAAACAAGCTATTAATAATTAACGTTATGAAACTGAATTCTCCATGTTAAATCCTTACAGAGTAGAAGTATTTAAATGTCCATTATAGTTTTTATTAATTTATGTCACACTTGCCTCGGGTGACTATAATACTTTTAAGTAATAATGTAATAATATTGGAATTTGAAGTTATGAATCCATTATATCGGAAACTTCAATAAAAGTTCAGTTGTAATATTAATGAATTTCATTTAACAATATATAAGTAGTTTTAAAAAATGTAAAGGGATTCGTTGTTAACTGATCCTCGAAAATTAAATTATGGTGCTGGCGTAACACAATTAACATTTTTATATTAAACTTATTATATACATACACACATATATATATATATATATTATATAGATTTGCCTTAAGATCACTAGTCGGTATTTTTTTCACACTAACATATCCTCCTACGTTAGTATGAAAAACGTCAAACAGGTTACTGAGAAAGTACATCTAAAAATTAGCATGATAACGAATTGTCTTTTCTACCGACTTCAAAAAGGAGGACGTACGCAATTCGACTGTATGTTTTTTGTTATGTGTGTTACCTCATAACTTTTTCTATGTGAACCGATTTCGATGATTTTTTTTTATTTGAAAGCTGATCCTTCTCATGCCTGACTAATCGTTTTTGAGTTCTTATTACTAATTAATATTGCTGTCGGTTGTCCAAAATTTATTTTTAAATTGTTCTAAACTGTCCATGAATATTTTATAACGTCAAAAGCGTGGCGGAAGTTAAATTGCTCATACAAATGTATTGCATAATTCGTGATACTATTTGGATTTGGATAATGACTATCTAAGTTCCCAACTTGGTTTTTTTTCCATTATACTTACCTATAAACATATAAGCGAATTGCAATTTACGTATTTTTACATCATATTGGATGTGTATTCCCCATATTTGTTTTATTTTTTCTTTTAAAAGAGGTTAACCCTACACTATGATTTTCTCCTGTATCGTGGGGGCAGTTTACACACATAAATTGCAAAAGGACAAACATACAAATACTCGATCCATGTGGGATTCGAACATGCGGCCTTAGCGTTGCAACTCAATGCTAAGACACTATGCCATGGAGAAAAAAAAATGGTACCATTTCACCGGCGGCACCATTTCTTAAATCAATTTCAATGCTCAATTTGCTGAAAATTATCAGTGTTGATGACACGTAGTAACGTGCTCGCCGTGAAGGAAAGCACCTTGAAGACACATGACCAGCAATCGCATTTACAACCATCAGACTAACAGAAAAAGGCAAGAAAAAATATTAAAAACAATTGAGAATTAAAACTAAATTTATCACTTGCAATGCCCTAATGTGATATTTTAGATGATTAATTCTCACTAAATTATCCTAGTAATATACACGTAAAAATTTGTTACTCTTTCACGCAAAACTACTGAATGGATTTTAATGAAACTACAGTTATATAGCTCATACATCTGAACAAATAGGCTATAATTCATAAAGGTATTGTACAAATTGGCCAAAATATAACAATAAATGTAAGTCGGAAAAATCTGTCGTCTACGACCTATTTTGGCGTGCGTTGCATAAACTGTAAGAGTTTCGCGCAAAATAAATCCACGCGGTCGAAGTCGCGGGGAACAGCTAGTACCTAATAAATGTTTATTCGCGTTGACTTTATCTTGGCCGGGCTGAAGTTAGTCGCGAGTGCCTGCGCAGTTATAGTTCTTAGGAAAAAATGGTGACAAGTGGGATGGAAGGTTGGGCGGTAATCGATTATCTTTATATATAGACACTATTGTTTTATTGAAATACATAAAGATATTTGAATTATAATAATAATTTTATTCTTTTATCGATAGAGACAAAAAAAATGTTTCCCTAAGCAATCTTAGGAGCGAACGTGAAGTGTTACATCCGCGAAATGTCTCGGAAAGCCGACTTCAACCCGGCCAAGATAGAAGTCGCAGACGGTACTTATGTTTTTGTTTAAAAAAAAAGAATATGAGTAACGCTATTAACATTACTATTACTTCCGTTAACCACTCCAAGTAAGCTTAAAATGCTTGTTAGGTTAGGAGTTGTTCACCACAGAACTCGAATGGCGCATTCGAACCCTCGCCTTTCTGAGCTTGCTGTTCATATCATTAGTCTACTGTTGTCTTTCATTGTTCATCCCATCCGTTTAGATAAATAGAATATATCTAAAAAAACATCACATTAGATCGGGAGAGATAGACAAGTGTCATATAAATTACACGTTGGGAGACACTTTTGACGTTATTACGCATAATTTTGCCTGCCATAATGACTATATCGACAAATCGAAGGTGAGCGATGTACTTGGCATAGATGTTGATATTGTGTCTTTCCAGTCCAGTTTCTTGAAAACGTTTCGGAGGTAACTGCACCTTGTCTTACACCTGTCTGAAGATGATTTGAGAGCGTATTCTGGTTCTATACTCCAATAACCACCGTAGCCTTCCTGTACAGTCCACTGTAGCACCGCTCGAATTTTGATAGAGGTAAAGGCCTCTCATTGTCCAAATACGTACGGCAAAGTGGCAGATTTTCTCCTCGATCTTCTGAACACATCCTGTATAGTCTGTGGTACCAAAGCCTTTTCGAAATCTAAGTACATATGCGAGATGATTCGTGATAATAGTAGGTAATTCTTCATTAAAGCATTTTTGCCTTTGTTGAAGAACAAGACCACCGCAATTAACCTCCGTGTATCCGTAGTAGTGCCACTATGAAGTACGAAGAGCTTTTGAAGGACTGAGTACCGGTTTTCCACCCGCTTTCACACATAACCTTTTTTGTCCATGCTCATGTTAAGACCTATACGTTGGGAGACACTATTAAGGTCATTGACCGTAGTGCTGAGGTCCTCCAGCGATTCTACCATATGGACTATATCGTCGGCAAATCAAAGGTGAGTGATATACTCACTAATGATGTTGATACCGTATCCTTTCCAGTCCAGAGCTATGCGTTTCTCCAAAACCCACTATACGGTGTTAATGGGAGACTTCAACGCTAAACTAGGCACAAAAGAGAACGGTGAGCTAAAAGTAGGGGAATTCGGAATAGGGAGAAAGACGAGAAGATAAAAGGTCGTCGTTAAGGTTTACGCACCAACTTCGGCACATGAAGTGGAGGAGTTATATGAGGATATCTCTAAAGCTATATATTCTTTCAATACCCAATATACGGTGTTGATGGGAAACTTCAACGCAAAACTAGGCGCATAAAAAGACGGTGAGCTGAAGGAAGGGAAATTTGAAATAGGGCAACAGAACCTAAGAGGTAAGTGATATCTCAGTGATCGCGAGGGTGAAACGTGGGAGCTAATCTAAAGGACTAATCACCGAATAGTGAGGGCATAGTGACCCAAGAGGTGAAGTCTAATAAAATCAAGATTCCGTCCACTTCATGCTTAAATCCCGTAAGCTTTCAGCTCGAATCGCAAATTTCTATGCCTAGAAGATTGCAATACCATAGTGAATGCGGTCGTAACTAATTTCTGTAAAATCCGTCGCAGCGCATAAACTCTCCGATCACACTAGTTAATCTCATGGCTGTTAGATGGGTAATAAAGCTGCGGTCTTTAACAGATATGATGCCATGAATGCAACTAAATAGACAGATTCTCCGAATGCATGCGGCGTATTAACATTAGTGGTAACAGGTTCTTGAGTGGCAGCCTCGTACCGGTAGGCGAAGTGTAGGGCAACCCCCCACGAGATGGAGTCACGACCTGGTAAGACATGCAGGAAGTCGATGGAAGCAGGTGGCTCAGGACCGTGCTTTGTGGCATTCCTTGGGGGAGACCTATGTTCAACAGTGGACTTGTGAAAGGCTGTAATGATGATGCGGCGTATTGACTCACGCATCTATAGTACAGCTCGTATTGAAGAAGCGATTGAAGAGGCTTGATCAGCAATTTGTTTGCCGGAAAGAGCTAACTGTAGAAGTTAATAACCGACTGTGGTAGCGTCATTTCTTAACCGACACTTCTGATGATCCCGAAAATAGGTCTGAGCGAGATTAGAACAGCTCTCAAGCAAATGCAAAATAACCACACCGGCGGAGTACATCATCAAAGGCGCTAGAAGTCTGGGACTATGACCGTCATATGGCCTTCATGCATAAATGCATGCAGGTCGTGGCAAACTCTTTACTATGGAAAGAGACACTCACATGCTAATAAAATAAGATACCTACCATATTACTAATTGTTTTTAATTGCGCCGTTAGTGTGCAACATGGCTGCACTGCTGCTTTGTTGGAGCCTGTGTCACTGGTCGGCGTTGCCCTGCTGCACACTAGCGTGCGCACCCTTGTATGTTTTATAGGGTTCTTGTACAACTTCCGGAGTTTTTTTTAGAATAAGGGTGACAAACGGGCTCACATTCCACCTGGCGGTAAGTGGATGCTATGGTCTATAGATATCTACATTTATACAAA